CCATAATGAATGATATATTTGAATGGATATCGTTTAAATTCTAATGTTATTTATTCAAAATTTATTGAGGTTTTTAAATTTTTAATTTAGAAAGAATGTGTAATTCTGTATCTGTAATTTGTTATAAAGGAACAACAGTCCCAGAGTAATAAAAAAATATTTTCATTTACTATGTGAGGAAGTACTGTTACAAGGCCAACGGTTATGCATGGAGGTGATGTGACCGATATCACGCTCAACTGCCAGGTTTTTCCCCTTAATCAATTATTTTAATTAAGGGTACCCACTTTATAGAGGCTGGATATGCCCCAGGAGGGTCTCCCAAACCCAGGGTCAATCCATGGCTAATGAAAAATTATTAGTCATTAACCGGATTCAAACCTAAAACCTTGAGCTCTGGAAGTCAGTGCTCAACCACTGAGCTACCCCGCTCCTTAAACTTATATATATATATATATATATTTCTAAATATCCAATATTATATTTGTTGGTTTCACAATAATTATGTTGAATTTATAGCATAATATATATTACCGACATCTTTCTTTTTTTTTATATATAATTTTCCCAATCAAAATGGAAAGTTTGCACCTATGGGAATTTCTTTTTTTTCTTTTTTTATTAGGAGTTTCCACTAATAGTGGGTTTCCTTAACCTAAACCTTGGATGGCTTCTTTCCATAATATCCTATCTAAGATCCATTCTTCCTGTAGACCATGACCCATCATGGATCCACTTCGTTATCCCAGGTTTTCCTTGTCTTTTTCTTTCCCTAGTTTTCCATAAGTGGACTACTTTAGGTTGTCTTCCCTCAGGTATTCTTTTCAAATGTCCATACCACTTCAGGCGTTTTATCTCAGTCTCTTCCAGAATGGTTCTTTTAGCCTCCATCTTTTCTCTGATGGTTGTATTTCTTACTTGATCCATTCTGGATATTCCCGCCGCTCGTCTCCAGTAGTCCACTTCGGTGGCTCGAAGCTTCTTCCTGAGGTTGCTTTTTATGGTCCAAGTTTCTGACCCATATGTCATAATGCTCAGTACTATACTACTGTATATGTCTTGGGGATAATGTTCCTGTTCCATAATTATTATTATTATCGAACCTATGGAAATAAGTAGTAAAATAAAATTCTGTGACATGTTAATGTGCATTTAGACATTTCACAAACTATGGGAAACACAAATATCTAAATGGTTATTTCCCTATGCTAGTGTGTTGGTTTATTTCTTTTTTTTAGGTTTTCCATCTGCTTTCAGTAACAATAAAAAATTAAAAAAGTTCGGTTAATGTCGCTGTTAGCCAAGTTAAATAATTGCGTCTCTCATAGTTTGTGAAATGTCTAAATGAACTTTCAGAATTTTCTAATAATTGAAATTGATCTTCTGATAATAACAATAATCATAAACATTATTTAATGATTTTAAAAAATAAATTAAAAGTACTGATATTTAAAAAAAAAGAAAGGAAGTTTTACTCTGGAACATTAAGTCCTCTAAGAATAATTATAATTAATTATGAAGTAACATTTGTCTGGCATTAGAAGACAATTAAGTTTGCGTTGATTGAATGGAAAGTAAAGAAAAATTATAAAAAAATCCAAATAGCACAAACAATTTGATAATGTTGTTCATAGGAGTTGATGATAATACAGTTCTTTTAATTTACATAATGTGAGTGACTAAGTGATAAGGGTTCATTAAACTCTTATCGATTTAAATCTTAAAATACTAGGCCTTTAGAAACATCAATATATCGATAGGTTATTATATAGGAACAGGCTGATCAAGTTGACGCACGCTAATGTCTATTCTGTGTATTTTACGACTAAATATTTTTCTAAACTATAAAGAATACGGTTATACAAATCCATTTTCTGGCTCTCATAAGCTATGGATTTTAATGAACGATGTATCAAAGGAAAGGGAATTTCATAAAGAAGATCAAGACATTGTTTCTTGGGAACTACATTATGTCCTATGTTTAAAAGCACACAAATGTACCGTTTTCAGGAAAAATCGTAATTCTTGCTGTAAGATACTTGAGGTTCTATGACTACCTAGCGATACTTATCACATGTTTAGATTTTAAACATTAAAATATTGTTATTTATGATAGTTTTCTACGAACTAAATATCTATTGAAAAGGAATGTGGAGCAACAAAGCTCTATAATTCCAAGGATAGTTCTAACTTAGAAGATATTTTTAATAAATAAATATTTAAAAAACTGAGGTGGGTGCTTTATACCACACGATAGAAGTGAAAACATCAACAAGCCGAGATTTATAATATAAATTTTTATTTTATTTTATTGATGATATTTACAACTGTATTACAAATAAAAATACATTTAGTAAATGTGAACAAAAGAATATAATATCATGAAACCACCTGTTGAGAAACTATCCACTGGTAGCATACTAAAAATGTATTCACAAATGATCTCGAAGCCATCTTCTTTTCAGACGCCTTGGGGGGTTATCAGGGATCGAATACGAAGCCAGGTTAGAAACGAGAGGGTTTGGATGGTTCTGAAGTTTTTTTATGGGACAGGTCTGTTTATCAAATTTGGATTGGGACAGGTCAGAAACATAAGGAAAATTGAGGTCGTTATGGATGAATTTATTTGTGACAAAGTAAGGAGCATTGAGGATTTTAGGAATGGATTTTGGATTGTAAGGATTGGATACTAGAGGAATTCGATGGCTTAATGGAGCCTCAGAGCTCAACTCCAAGTAGGTCCAAATAGGTCTTATTATAGTCATGTATATGAGTCTTTTGTAATTAATTGGAAGTTTAGAGCGTTTGTCTAGTAAGTGCTGGAGTAGTCGGAAACGTCGAGCGGTTTCTTGTCGTTTCAGTCTAGCATGAGGATTCCAAGTTAGACGTTTGTCTAAGTGGAGTCCAAGGTATCGGATTTGTTCAACAGGAATAAGTGGGGTATTATTAAAGGATACTGTAGGACAGGAGGACATAAGTTTACAATGTAAAATGTAAATCATGAATAATAGCCCGTTACAAAAAAGTTGAAATGCTGAACATTTCCCTCGCTTACAGTACGCAGGTCCGTTTTTTAGTTTTTGAGATATTTTATCCATGTCTTCAATAAAACTCATTATCATTGTGTTTTCGACACTATGTTTTCCCTTTTCACCTCCCTAACACGGCGTCGCGTTAAGACATAATTTTAAATAATAGACTATAGAAAGAGGAGGAAACGATGAACATTTTCACTCGTAAATAGTATGGTGGTCCAATTTTTAGTTTTTGATATATTTTAATCCATATGCAAAAACACTTCAATTAAAAGACTCCAACCGACTTTACCCGAGCTTTACACAAAGTAGGTCTGACGGCTCAATCTAGTTCAGACTCCACGAAAAAAATCCAAAACACGTCTAAAGAAGTTTTCATTTTGAAAACGATATTCAGTTATGGCTTTTGTACTCTCAGTAATAATTATACTTCTATACTCTTCTTAACAAATCAAGGCTCTTGATATTTCATATTATTAATCTCGGCTTATTGATGTTTTCACTTCTATCGTGTGGTATAATGTACACACCGTAGTTTTTTATTTATAAAAATTGTCTCTTTAATCCAACTCTAATCACTACCATATCTTCAACTCATAACCTTAAACCTTCTCCGTTATGATGAGTAAAAAACTTAAACTTTTTTTTTTTCGCCAACACTGTCATCACCACCTATGCCGATGACACGTGTATCCTATCAGTTAATAACGATCCATCAATTGCATCCCAAACTCTTCAACCACACATCACAAGTCTTGAAACTGGAGGATTAAAATAAATTCCAATAAATCCCATCAAATTCACTATTCGCCGTAAACCTATGACTTCCTGTCCTACAGTATCCTTCAACAATAGCCCTCTTATCCCTGTCGAACAAATCCGATATTTAGGACTCCACCTTGACAAACGACTCACTTGGAACCCCCATACCAGACTGAAACGACTGGAAACCGCCCGACGTTTTCGACTACTGCAGCACTTACTAGACAAACGCTCTAAGCTCACAATCAATTACAAACGACTCATATATATGACAATAATAAGACCTATTTAGACTTACGGAATTGAGCTTTGGGGCTCCGCTAAACTATCGAATTCCTCTCGTATCCAATCCTTACAATCCAAAATCCTTCGTAAAATTCTCAACGCTCCTTACTTTGTCACAAATAAAATCATCCATAAAGACCTTAATGTTCCATATGTTTCCGATTTGGCCCAATCCAGATATCTATCCTTCCATAACAAACTGCAGAACCATCCGAATCCTCTCGTTTCAAAACTTGCTTCCTCCTCGATCCATGATAATCCTCCGAAGCGTCTGAAAAGAAGATGGCCTCGGGACCTTTTAATATAGAACTTTAATTTGAGTTCTACCAATAGGTAGTTTCTCTTCATGTTGTACATGTCATGTTACCGATGTCACATTTACTTATTGTATTTTCCATGTAATACAGTTGTAAATCTCAATAAAATAAAATTAAAAAAAAAAAAATCAAAAAATATTATTTTATATTGTTTTGCAATTTATATTATTTAATTTTGATAAATAAAAAGACTTCTTCTTCATCTTCTAGTAATGAAATAGTCCGAAAAACTCGTGAAAAAGGCGAAAACGCACAGAATTCAAGAGCGAAGGTTCTTAAACTCCTCTCGAGCCGGGGAAGTATAGCTTAGTATAGCATAGACAAAAAAAAAAGAAAGAAAAAAAGTTGTAAGAAAAAAGCTAGAAGACGAAACACTTCCCCCTTTATATTTAGGTAGTTTCTCTTCATGCTGTACATGTCATGTTACCAATGTCACATTTACTTATTGTATTTTCCATGTAATACAGTTGTAAATTTCAATTAAAAAAAAACAACAAAAAAAACTTTTTTTCAATATTTATTTCAATCAAGAGGATAATGAAAATCGGCTCCATGCCTATAGACGAATTTCATTTTTATTAAAATATGAGACGCAACTGTAATGACTTTGACGGTTTGGAGTTGCTTGCTGCTTTTCGGTTCGAAGAAATCCATTGCGTACAGACCTTTCAGTGGCGTCGTATATGTCGCCGTCACCTGTTCACAAATAACATTTTAATCTTTGAGAAGATATTATAATTATTACAATTACTCCTATCGATACTTAAATATGGCGAATCCTTCAACTCACTGTCCAGTTTGTCAAGTTTATAATTCTCAATAAGCTAGGACTTGAGCCAGCTGTTATCACGTAGCTCTTGCCCAGAAATGAACCGCAGTAATTCTGCAATATATCCATATACAAATACATTAAATGCCTTTACATTGCGTACTATATAATGTTTGGCGACGTTTCGCTCCACTTTGCTGGCCTTCGACAGAGCTACAAACAAGAAAAATATAAGTTTTTATACGAATGATAACTAATATATAGGGTGCCTTGTAAATAGATAGAAATATTTTAAAGGTTGATTATAGACATCAAGATCTAATAAAATGTTCAAAATAAACAATTGCTTAATTTCTAGTAGAAAAGCAAGAAATTTAAGATTTTTGTTTTTTTTAAGCGAGTTACGTTTTTTGTTGAATAGGAAGTAATTAAAATAATTAAACATTGCTCAATAGTAAACCAGATAAAACATTCTTTAAACAAAAGTTAAATATTAATACATTGTTAAATCCATTTAAAGAGGTCTATTGAGCTTACAAACACAGCTAAGTTCAGTGATATGGGATGTACTGCACTAGCGGATCCAGGATTTAATTTTGGGGGGGGGGGCTTCAGCCCGAAACCTTTTTTTTTCATAAAAATAACGATAATTACTTTGGAAAAACAGAAAGAAACTAACTACCTATATGAAATGGTGTTTAAGTGGTTCCTTAAGTCCTTTTAAATGTGCTTAAACGAATAATAATACTTTAAAAGGTATTTTAAAAAAAAAATTTCCCAAAAAACATAGTTACATTTTACCATTTTGGGGGGGGGCTTCAGCCCGAAAGCCCCCCCTCCCCCCGTAGATCCGCCCGTGATGTACTGTAATAAAAATAATTGCCTAAAAAAACATTTTTATTTATAAAAATAAAAATCTGGTGTGTCCACTCACACGACTTTCCTACATATTTCAGAAAAAAAAAATTATATCGTTACATATGTTAATGAAGAAAAAAAAATTGAATTAGATTTATTTTCATGAAAATTGATCAAAGAAAAGATTTGAGTACGATCTATTTGATAAACTAAAGCAATGTAAACCGACTTGAGATAGATCAGTGTAAAAATTTCAATGCTTTCTAATATTGCTGATCAAAAACTTTTTGCCATAGCTTAATTTAATAGCTGTAACTTCGTTAATATTTGTCCAAAATGAACGATTTTTATATAGTTTTGTAGGGAATGTATTTACCTTTCAAAAAATAGCTAAACGGTATGTTTTTATATATTTATAGATAGAACGGGGCTCTGAAACCTATAGATCCGTCGAAAATCGCATATCGGAAATTTGACGCGATCGCAATACTTTCCTTACCTACTATAGGTAGGAAAGTAAAAAAATTTAAAAAAGGTGATTTATCAAATATTTTTATGTAAGGTGGTTATGAAATTGTGTTTTTCTTCCAAGATTTCTGTCATAGCAATTGATACGTAATTATTAGAGACAAACTTATATTCCGTGGTACAGACTCCTTTTTATCGAATTATTAACATCCTTCGGAAACTTCCTAAAAAGTATCATCTCATCGTAAACTACAACTATTTTATTTACGAAAACTCTTGGAATTGGGGCGTTTTCAATCTGGAGGGGGAGCAAACTTTTTCTATTTAATTAGGTACTAAAAACCCGTAAATACCCATTTGCTTTCTACTAGGTTCGAAAGATAATGTCATCACAAAATCGAGAAAAAAGGTGGCCTTCAAAAATATTGAGCCGTTTGGCGTGACCTATACCCACAATTTTACAAAATAACAAGGTTATATAGGAAAAACGGTTGAAATTGTTTATATGAACTTTTTTGTCGATTTAGATGTCTACTATCAACCTTTTTACTATATATTTTTTATTATATATTTACCTCTACTTACGGGACACCCTGTAAAAGGATTTAAAAATCACAAAAACATGAATAATTCATAGAATTATGAAACACCTTTGCTTTAAAAGAATAAACTAGGGATATAGATTTTAACTATATTGAACATATTTATTTGTATGATTGTACTTATACTCATTTTTTCTTCTAGTTAAGAGCCTTGCAAAGTGAGCCGAAATGTCAGCAAAATTTAAATTAAAAATTCATATCTTATGCTAAATTTTAACAACCAGAAACGAGAAATCAACGGTTGCTAATGGAACTAGTTTAGTTTAAACAGAAGTTGGTCGAGGATGTAGCTTATGGAATCAATACGTAATAATCAGTGGAAAACATTTTTTTTCCTTTGTTGGTTTTACATACCTTGTGGATCGTTGGCTGCTTGAAACAACTTTCTCCACCTCTGCTCTCTTGGGCTAATGCTTTCCAGTAGTGTTGCCCAAATGCGAGACAGAGACGAGTATTGGTCTTGCAAACTCAGTCTTGGTCTAGATCTTACGCCAGACTCTCGTAACAGTCTTGCAGTTTCCTATTAGCTTATTACTATAGAGATATTACTGTATTTTTTTAGATATGAGAAACCTAACTAAGTCTGAATGGAAAATTAGAAGAGTTAAATGCAAAAGTATATTTACATATAGTAATCCAATTACATATAGTATACCAATTCTTTACATATAGTAACTAAAATTGTCAAGTATTAGTAACTATTTTGCCTAGATTTTTTTTACCAGTCTTGGTCTTGGTCTTACAACAGATAGGAGGTGTTGGTCTTAGTCTTGCAAAGTGCAAGACCAAGACCGATTTGGGGCAACACTACTTTCCAATCGTCTGCATCCACATCTTTCTTGATTCCATTTATCCTTCTACTTTTTGGACTCCCGCTTAGTCTCTTTCCCATAATTAAGGCATTCATTTTTGGTTAGAGAGTTCCTGATGGATACTTCCGAAATACATGTCCCATCCGTCTTAACCTCTTTGTCTTTGTATCATGTGGTATTGATTGACTAGCTTAAACAGTTCCGCGAGAGTTTCAGACCGAGAGAGTTCCACGAGAGAGATCTTTGCCTTTGAAAACAAACTCAACATGGAGCTTTATGGAGGGCCTTGGTGACGTCATAAAGGACGTGGTAAGGTTAACAGAGAATACAATCCTCGACTCCCTGGGAATCATCCACCACCATGTTGTTTATTGAACACGTTCACTGTATTTTATCTATTTTTATGTATTTTATGAATTAGGTTAGGAAGAGAGAGAGGAGAAAATATGAGGAGGAATAAGAGAAATGTATAAGGAGAGAGAAGGTAGAGAAAGGGAAATGGAATATTAATGTAAGAAATAATGAAAAAAGAAGAACAGAAAATAATACATATAAAAAATAAATAAATAATTGTTTACTATGCTCATATATATTGTTAATACTGTATATTTGTATATTAGTTTTACGAATTGTCTATTGTATTGATTAATAAGTATGCTGTGTATGTAGCAACCTAATATAATTTGGCAGCACCCTTTCATGAAAATAAAGTGATATTCTCTCTTCGTCCACCTGTTAGTTCTCTGATTCCTTAATTTGATATTTATAGTTTTTTCTTCTTCTTTTTTTTTTGTTAGGAAGCTGTTTAATTTACTTTGTTGTTGGCAATAAAAAACTTCCAAATTTATAACTAATACTGTATTTGCTATAATTCATTCCAAGTTGACGTTTCGGGAAACTATTCCCATCTCCAGAACTTTCTTCCCGTCTTTTATAAGCAATTAATAGCTAAAATCTGGTGTGCTCCTTTATCATAGTTTAAAGTACACATTTATGGGACAAATAATTGGGTATCTCATAACTGTGGGGCCATAAATGTGATGCTCCAGATATTACTTTTATTTATAATACAAAATTTTAAACTATGACAAAGGAGCACACGAGATTTTAGCTATTAATTGCTCATGAAAGACGGGAAGAAAGTTCTGAAGATGGGAATAGTTTTCCGAAACGTCAACTTGGAATTAATTATAGCAAATAAACGATTTGTTATATATTTGGAAGTTTTTGATTGCCAACGTCCTTTTGTCCTTGTCAACCATCTTTTTTTCATTTATCCCCTAGTTTGCCAATTCTGGTACACGGAGAGGGATTCTTCTATAAGTGCAAACCTATTCTAAACAAAGTGGAAAGGTCGAGATACATTGAATGGATCTGGACAGGATTCCCAGAAGTGGATTGTATGGCTCAAGTTGCGCCATCAAAATTTTTGAGGGGGGCATATTTTGACAGGTTTTTGAATTTTTGAGGGTGAGCACATTTCAACGGGGCTATGAATTTTCAAAATGATATGTTTCAGAATTAAGTTAAGCTAATTAAGGGAGTTAAGGTTAATTCTACATTCCTTTGCACTATTTTTATGAGACGGTGAGTAATAAATTATCTTGGGAGAGGAGGGGAGTAGTTTCTTGCGCCATCACCGTTGGGGAGGATGGGCACCCCTGGATCTAGAGAATGCTAAAGCGGGCAACACAAATGTCACCATGGCCTGTTCCTTCACCCATCCTCGTTTCCACTTTTCCCTTGTATCCTCCCAGATAATATTTTTCATTTGCTCGGGTTCTATTCGATTCTTCCATTGAGATTTCCTCGGCAGAACTTCTGAGCCTTCTTGTTTATATTTCAACACAAGTTCGAGAGGCACTCCTTCCGAATAATACTTAAACCTTATTATAATTTTTTATTTTGGGGGAGGGAGAAGGTCCTCCCCTTCTTCACCTTTACTTTAAAGGCTGTACGGGGGTTTTCCGGGCCAGGGGATGTGGGTAGGAATTAAAAAGACTCCTCCGGCACCGGAAAGCGAACTCGTGACTATTTTTTATCATTTCATTTGTCCCATATATCAGGTTGCCGGGCACAACGGCGGTGCTGTGCACAAGCGTCAGCCCGTTCGGCCACACCGCCCACAAATGCTTATTATACTTATAGTACTCCTACGTTTCGACCCACTTTGTAGGTTTTCATCAGGCTGTCTCAGTCTGACTACATCCCGACCAACTTCTTAATTTACAACTACGGTCAATAACATGGAATTATTTTATACTGAAAATGAGATGAACTGAGAGAATAATGAAATTTTAAAGAAAGATATAAAAAGGTTTTAGATAGAATTCAAATCCATTTAATTAAAGAGCGATAATAAACGTTCCTTACCCTGGATTGATCGCTAGTAAAGTCGTTCAACAGTTGAGTTGTATTATAGTCCCAAATACAACAATTTCTGTCTTCTTCAAAACTGCATGTTAAGATCTTAAAAATATATATAAGATATATAAGAAATTAAAGATATACAACTAATTTATTAATTAAACGTAAACAGGCCTACAAAAATATTGTGGCATTTTCGTGTTTCTGATCATACTATTCAAATGGAAAGCAAATGGACATTCATGAATTTTTAGTATTATGAATTAAATAGACAAAGTTTTTCGATTTCCAGATTGAAAACGCCACAATTCCTAGAATTTATGTTAATACAATATTTGTAGGTTATTGTGAGATGAAGGTTATTTACTTAGTTTCAGGCGAATGTTAATAACTCTAAATAAAGGGATCTGACCACGGATACCATTTATTGTGCAACGAAAAGAACAAAGATTGCAGGAATATAACTTATCACTAACAAAAATTATTGAATAACTTATTCTGTGGTTAGTTGGTAGGGTATTGCAAAAAGTGGAAGTATAATGTCAAGAGAAGCGACTAACCACGACCAGGGTGCACATCCCCCTCCCAAAACCGATGGCGCATATACCTTCCCCCACTTCTCCCATGATATTTTATTACTCTCTTCTTCTTAAACACAGTGCAAACAAAAGTAGAATTTAAATATTCGTACTGGAACCCCCATAGCAGACTGAAACGACTAGAAACCGCCCAACGTTTTCGACTACCGCAGGACTTGCTAGACAAACGCTCTAAACTTCCAACTATTTACAAAAGACTCATATATATTACTATAATAAGGCCTTTTTGGAAGCCTTGATTACGGAATCGAGCTTTGGGGCTCTATTAAACCATCAAATTCCTCTCGTATCCAATCCTTACAATCCAAAATCCTTCATAAAATCCTGAATGGTCGCTACTTTGTCACAAATAAAATCATCCATAAAGACCTTAATGTACCTATCCTTTCATAATAAACTTCTGAACCATCCGAAGTCTCTTGTTCCCAACCTTGCTTCCTCTTTTATTCCTGATAACCCTCCGAGGCGTCTGAAAAGAAAATGGTCTCGGGACCTTCTAATATAGAAATATAATTGGAGTACTACCAATGGGTGGGTAGTTTCTCTTCATGTTGGACATGTCAAGTTACTTTTTTTTTTTTTTTGTTCTTCCCTACCTCGCCTTTTAGGCTATACGGGATTTTCCCGAGCCGGGGGGTGAGGGCGGGGAGTTACACACGCTTTAGCCTATTCGGCCACCCCGTCCCCCACATGTCAAGTTACTTATTTCATATTTACTAGTTGTATTTTGGTTTATTATTTTCAATAATCGAACATTGTGATCGACCAAAAAATTCAAAAACTTAACTCCCGCTCAAAATTTGAGGTTTCACGTTTCAGGATGCGTAGAATTCGAAAAACGAATAAAAATTTTTTTGTCCGTCCGCCGTCCGCGCATTTTCTCCGAAACTACTGGACCGATTTTTTTCAAATTTGGATATAAAATCAGAGGTCACCCGAGGATGATCCTCCTTCATCGACATTACCATCCGCCTTTTACTTTCAAAATGGCGGCCGAAAAACCTGCGTTGCTATAGACTGTAGCTCCTAAACGAAAGTACCGATTTCAATGAAACTTTGCTAAAGTCATTTTCTTGACGCCCTTAAATTTATCTATATAGCATACTTGAACGAAAAGAATCTGGAAAAAAAGTTACGAGGGATGGTAATAGTTTTTTAAAAGTTTACGAAATTTCCTAAAAACCAAAAAAATTGTTAAAATCGGACAATTACGAGCAAAGATATGGTCTCCGGTTTTTTTAATATGTTCTACTCCAAATGTTATATCCTTTGTTTGGTTTTTAAATTTTGAATATGTTTCTAATGTAATGCTCTTTTTTTTAGCATATTACCAATTATTAAAAATAAAAGTTTAGTACAACAATTGGAATCACCTTTTATCTATTTTTCTTTGTAACTATGAAGTTAATGTTACTTTAGACGTATAATTGTCTGGAAATAATAAACCATTGTGGAATAATTTGCAGCGTTTTCATTATACAGTTGTAAGTTTTAATAATAAAAAAAATATATTCGTAGATTAAATAACATTACATATACTGCGGTCTGTTCCATGCTTCCACTTGTCTGTTAATTTGAAATTATTCATTTTGGAAATTCGTAACCTCCTAAAAATGTGCACCCCTCAAAAATTGAAAGCCTGGTAAAAAAGTGTTCCCTTCATAAATTTTGATGCGCCATGAAACCGCCTTCAGGACACCCCTGACCACAACTCCTACTTTCACAACCCTCCACCATTAGGGAACCTTTTGCAATGTATACTAATAGAAATATAACTATTTTCTGAATGAATATTATCAAATATTTTCTTGACTATTGGGACAGAGAATCAGTACGTAGCAATGCTTTTCCTATTTGATAATTGTATTCTTAATCTATATCAGTATGTTTAATACGTAGTTGTTAAGATGTTAAGACAAAAGGAGACCAACCATTCTTCCAGTCCAATCTATATCGATGGAATCCCCGCAGATGTGTGGTCCCGCGATGTATTTCACCGCTGAAGGCTTCCTAATGTCCCAATACTGGACGGTGTTGTCCCAGCCACCGCTGAGCAGTTCGTTAGGGTTTTGTGGGTGGAATTTCGCAGCGAACACTCTGGATTTGTGGCCATCTGCAAACTCTGGTCGATAGCTAAAAATCAATAATTATAACTAATATAAAACATATTATAATAATATGGTGAGCTTTTGGGTAACATTGTTGGTATCCTCCTTGGTTCCCGTTTGAGACACTACAATGTTCCATTTTGTTTGTTTAAACTTGTGTATTATTGTTCAGTGAAATTCATATTTTATTTTTGTAAATGTGATCACTTAATGCATCTTACAATATTCTCTATATTGTTAGTTGTGGGTTATTATTATTATGATAAAATTAAAATGCATACACAGGCCTAAAGATTATTTTGTAAAACTTCACCATCATATACGTTTTGTGACCAACTGCGCAATACGTTTTGTTTTCGGAAACTCAAGAGATACGCATATAACCCAGTATCACACCAATTTGAAGTGGCTCTATCCATCCAACCGCCGTCTGTACTTCCTTGCTACCTTTCTATACCAAGCCATCACAACTCAGCGACCTTCCTATATTTTTCACAGCCTACAATTTAAATATTCCATTCAATCCCGTCCCACTAGATCCCGTACTTCTGACCTCTATCCACCTCCTCACCGAACTGCAGCGTTTGACAAATCCTTTATGATTCAAGCCGTCTCCATCTGGAATACCATCCCTCCCGATAACCGACATGCGCAATCAGTTTCCTCATTGAAATCTCTCCTTTTTAAGCACCTACTTCTTTCCCAACCCGATTATATTTTTATTTTGATGAGCATTGTAAATATTTAATTTAATTTCATGTCTATAATTTGTCCTAAAGGGACAAAAGTCCCAGGATAATAAAAATCTATTTTCATTTCATTTTCATATTCAACGCTGACCGCCGCCCCACAAATGTTTTTGATAAGTGGAAATGATTTATAAGCAAAATGATAACCAAACTCAAAAATAATACCCGTCCTCCTACAATCCTATCTCTCTTTTATCCATCCTTCGCAAAACTCATTCTGCAACGTCTGTATCTCATCCTAGATTCTAATGACATAATCCCAGATCACCAGTGTGTGTACCGAATATCGCATTTCACTATTAAGCAATGTCGTCGAGTGGTAGACGTTTGTCTCCTCTATGTTACCCGTGGAATTTACTGCACGAATGTCTTTCTCAAAATAGAACAGGCTTTTTTCGTCTATTATAGTAAGTGCCACAACAATTTTTATGATGTACATAACTCATTCCATCTCCGTGAACAGTTACTCCCCTTTACCATTCCAGACAATTTTATTCTTTGCTCCTTCGACGTTGAAAGTTTATTTACGAACATACCCATAGAACAGGCTTTTGTTTTAATCTTGTATTCATCCCTCTTTTCTCTGTCTGCTCGTGTTCACCTCTCTCATGATAGGTGGTAAGCTCCACTCCTATCAAGTGATTGGGGAACCTTAGGGTTTACAACCTTAGGTGAATCCTGGCTAACTACTACTGAGGGGCAGAAGCTAGAGAGGTAGGTCTAGTCCCATTCCGAGGATGTCCATCATATGGAACATTCACACCTTATAGTCTTGGAGAAAATAGGGTTAAGGATGGATTCGGTTATAGTCGGGCTAGATACGTCTCCTTCTGTTGCCGACCTCTAAGCGGCGTACACATTGTCTGCTCGTGTTTCTCAAGGTGGAATCATTCGTCCCATACTCTACACAATTTATACAGTTGACATTTCAATCCATTCTGACACCCCTCTCTTCACCGATAATGTGTCCTATCAGTTAATCAATAAAACCAATCAATTGGATCCCAAACTTTTCAATCATATATCAGCTATATTGAATAATTTTGTAAAAACCTGAGGATTAATAATAAATCCCATTAATTCACTTTAACCCCTCATAAACCTATAACTTTCTGTCCTACAGTATCCTTTCGAATCCTTGTTGAACAGATCCGCCACCTAGGACTCCATATATTCAAACGTCTTACTTGGAATCCTTGTACAACACTAAAACGACAAGAAAGGGTTCAACGTTTTTAAGACTTACAAGACAAGTGCCCAAAGCTTTCAATCAATTAAAGAGGGCTCATTTACTTGAGGATAATTAGGCCTATTTGGGCTCTTGTATCCTCTCCTTACCATGCAAAATCTTCTGGAAAATTCTCAAAAACCAATCCAGGTAACCAATTCCAGATCCATCTGAGCTCACTAGTCTAACCTTGTATCAGCTACAATCCTTGATAATTCGACTAGGCGTCTGAAAAGAAGATGGTCTCAGAGCCTTCTAATATAGAGTTCTCATTAGAGTACTACTATGAGTAGTTTCTCTACATGTTAGTCATGTATTGCATTTATCATAGATCACACTTCTACTTTTCAAAACAATTATTTATAATCCCTAAAATATATAATTTTACCTTAATTTAATATAAAACGAAACCATACCTTTGTTCGAAATTGCGCCTTAAGTTACCAGTTTCTAGATCATACAGACTAAGTTTGGCATTGTCTCCAGTCGTAACGAATACACGTTGCAATGGGCTGACGCCACATCCTAATATTTGATTCGATTCTTCTATAGTCCTTACACACTCACCAGAACTAAGGTTCCAGAATTTAACAATGCCTTCAGCATCTGTAATTATATAATTATTTGATAGGCAAATACACGACACAGTTTATACATAAATGTATACTAAATGGAAACACAATAAATTAAACATAGCAGTTTTGAGGAGAACAGATAAAGAGATTATGCAGTAATTTATGTTTGCCGAAATTTCAAGCCAAACATGTGGGTCATCCTCAGGGCATCGGTTGTTGGTTGGAAGAACAAGAAAGAGCTCTATGTTGTTTATTAGGGTTCTCGATGTTCCTTCGATGTGAATCTGTGGTTGTAGATCCCTCACTCAACCTCTACTGGCTTTAATATTAATACAAGTGAAACGGTTGAGGAAGAAGCGCTGGGATCTCTTATTATTATTATTATTATTGAGTCCTTAGTATATTAAATTAATATGGTTTATTATTGGAGTATGAGAACTTTTCTCGTACAGAACTTTTTATATGCAGATGACACTGTAGTTTCATCGCCGATTTCAAGATGAAACTACAGCAAGCATTGGTAGAACGGGAAGAAGAGCTGCTGAGGAAAGATATGGGAATAAATGCCTCTAACAGTAAAGTGATGATTATGGCGAGAGAAGAAGAGGCCCAATTGGTTCGCAATGGAAAAATTCTTGAGGTAGTGAAGTATTACACCTACTTAGGTACCATAATTAGAAACTCTGGTAAGACAGTTGCTTAGATTTCGTATAGAATATCTAAGGCGAATCAAGCATACCATCAGATCACTAGCTGTATCCTCAGCTGCCGTGAAATAAATAAAAATGCCAAGATGCACGTCTATAAATCAGTGTACCTTCCTATTCTCATCTACGGAGGAGAAAGGTGAACTATGTTGGACAAACATTATAGTCATAACAGCTGCGGAAATGCGGTTCCTACGTAAATCAGTGGTAAAAACTTGGAGGGATCGCATTAGAAATGAAAATATCAGAGAACAGCTGGAAGTGCCTGAACTCAAAATCACCTTGGAGAACAGGCAACTAAGGTGGTTAGGGCATGTCTGCCCATGCATGAACGAGGACATGGACCCTATAAAGATATTAGAGGCTCGGCCCACAGGGAAGAGGCCACGAGGGCGTCCCAGAGTCTCATATCAGGAGTTCATGGAGAGGATCGGAGGTAGAAGAGGCAAATCCTTCAACCAAATGAAGCGGTTAAGCAGAGACCGGGAATAGTGGCTGCGTTGGATAGAGGCTCCTCGACGCTAGAAATGGCATTGTGATGAAGACAAAGAAGAAGAGAAGGTTTTCTTATTGAAAGTTATAAACCAGATCGCGTATGAAAATTTCACTAGGCTATCTGTATCTTTGCTAATTATGGTTCGATTCCACTATCTTTTTTCTGTGTAGGTAATTTAGAAACCATTGAAATCATCATCAATGTAATTAACCTTAAATTTTATTAATTTTTAGTTATGCTCAAATAAATTTTATTTTGTTCTATTGGGTTGAGATGGTACCCACTTAGGCACTGGTTGAGATGGTTATCTTCAAATGACGACTTCACCTTTGAATTTGATGAAGTATTAAGAAAGATAAAGCCTGACGACAAAAGAACACTTTTGAGAAATTATATAAAAAACATCTATAATTAAAACATGTTAAAACTTACATGTACATAATGCGTATTCTGAAAAGGGAGAAAATTTAATAGACGTGATTGGGCTCGCAGATCTTTCAAGCTGCTGGTCTATGTACAACCGGGACATTGTTAAATCATTGTAGTTAATTTTCCTCATTACTCCATCTACACTCCCTGTTAAAATCTCATCTCCGGTTTTCGTAAATCGGCAGCTGAGTAAATCCATTGGATGAGTGCTGTAACACAAGAAGACATGTTTAAAAAAGTGGATTATAAAGGACGATCCAATTCCTGTTTCTTATATTGGCAACACTGAAAGTTAGACGACTGTGAATACTGATGCTTGTTTCTAACGTCAACTGTTTGTTGAAAACAACACATTTACGATATGATTCGCTTAACTAACGATCAACGTATGAAAGTTGCCCTACTGAAATAACAAATCTGTAAGAACTGTATATATTTTCTTTGTGGGAAGATTATGATCAATTTAAACGTCTTACTGGGCGCACAATTCGCTATATTGTTAATAGAATGTTAAGGAAAATATTAAGGAAACTGGAAAAGTTAGAGATAAAGTAATTCGTGTCCAACCTCGTGGCGTGCGTTCGGCCGAGGATATTGTTTGTGTGCATGATAGCGTAGCGAAGACTTGGAATTATCGATTCGTTGTCCTTCCCTGAGCTTGAGCGGCTCCCTTAACAACATTTTGCTTAGAGATTTGAACCTACACCCATATAATATATAGTTAATTCAAGAACTGAAGCCCAGAGACCATGGATATGGAAGACTTTACGCTGATTGGGTCTTGCAGCAATAGGAAGTTGATGCTGCTTTTCAGAGAAATTTTTCTTTGATGCCCACTTCCAGATATCTGAATATGTTAATTAACAAATTTGCCGCATGGGGTAAGGAAAATCATCACGTGATACACAAGGCACCTCACAAAAAAGGTTACTATGGTCAGGAGGCGTAACGTTGAGCGCTATACTGATTATTTTTGGCACGAAATTGAAGATATTGATGTAGAAGAGATGTGGTTTCAGCAAGACGACGCAACATGCCACACTTCGCGAGCAACGTCATTTGTTTTGCGTGAAAAGTTCAGAGCTTGCATTATTTAAATATCGTGGTAACATCTACTGGCCGCCAAGATTATGCGATTTAACATTATTGGTTTTGTTTTTAAAGGGTTATTCTCCAGTCTGGTTAACAGCCGCCAAGTTATATTCGAGGTAATTCTCGAAAATCGGAAAAAGTCATCGAAAATTATCAAAAACGAATTTATTGCTGCAAAATGTCCAGAGGTAGCCATTTAGATTATATCATTTTTCATATTTAATGAATTATTTTAATGATACATTTGATTAATAAAGACATGACTAAGATAACATTACATTTGGCGCATGTGTGTGTGTTTTGAAAATAAAGTTAGAAAACTCAAATGTGATCATCCATTCTTTTAGTCCGTGGTACCCTAGACCCCTTTTATCAAATTATTAACATCCTCCTGAAACTTCGTGAATAGGTCCACCTCATCGTAATCTACAAATATTTTATTTACGAAAATTTTCGGAATCAGGACGTTTCCAATCTCGATATTGGCAAACTTTGTCTATTTAATTAGGTACTAAAAACTCTTGAATACCCATTTGCTTTCCATCTGTAAGATAACTTTATCACAAAATCGATAAAAAAAGGCAGCTTACAAGAATATTGGGCCTTTTGGCATATACAACCTCACTATTTTGACAATTTAGGGATGTAGTTCACGCCAAACGACTCAATATTTTTGAAGGTCACCTTTTTTATCGACTTTGTACTCAAATTATCTTACATAAAGTGGAGAGCCAATGGGTATTTACGAGTTTTTAGTACCTAATTAAATAAACGAAGTTATCCGATCTCCAGATTGAAAACGACCTAATTCCGAGAGTTTTCGTAAATCATGATGAGATGAAGATATTTACGACATTTCAGGAGGATGTTAATAATTTGATAACAAGGGGTCTGATCTCGGACTATTTAGTTTTGATTTACAAACATGATTAATCACGAACCATATGTATGTATTTTAAATTACGCAATGCAGTATCTAAAATGATAATTGTGGTCATATTATGATTAGCCATCTGTGGTAAACTAATAGAACCTATAAATATTTTTTTAATCTTTTTTTTTTTTTTCCTATGTCCTTAATATCTGTATCCTTAATGTCGTAAATATCTTCATCTCATCATGATTTACGAAAACTCTCGGAATTAGGTCGTTTTCAATCTGGAGATCGGATAACTTCGTTTATTTAATTAGGTACTAAAAACTCGTAAATACCCATTGGCTCTCCACTTTATGTAAGATAATTTGAGTACAAAGTCGATAAAAAAGGTGACCTTCAAAAATATTGAGTCGTTTGGCGTGAACTACACCCCTAAATTGTCAAAATAGTGAGGTTGTATATGCCAAAAGGCCCAATATTCTTGTAAGCTGCCTTTTTTATCGATTTTGTGATAAAGTTATCTTACAGATGGAAAGCAAATGGGTATTCAAGAGTTTTTAGTACCTAATTAAATAGACAAAGTTTGCCAATATCGAGATTGGAAACGTCCTGATTCCGAAAATTTTCGTAAATAAAATATTTGTAGATTACGATGAGGTGGACCTATTCACGAAGTTTCAGGAGGATGTTAATAATTTGATAAAAGGGGTCTAGGGTACCACGGACTAAAAGAATGGATGATCACATTTGAGTTTTCTAACTTTATTTTCAAAACACACACACATGCGCCAAATGTAATGTTATCTTAGTCATGTCTTTATTAATCAAATGTATCATTAAAATAATTCATTAAATATGAAAAATGATATAATCTAAATGGCTACCTCTGGACATTTTGCAGCAATAAATTCGTTTTTTGATAATTTTCGATGACTTTTTTTCCATAGTCATTGGTCATTCGACCATCTGACATCTTGCTGCCCAATATAATTTTGATTTTTGTATGTAATCATTTACATATGTTTGATTATTTATATCCGTCAAAGCAGGACATTCGTTTAGGTGATCTGCATCCATTGCCGCTTGTTCACATAATTTACATCTCGGATCCTCAGCGATGCCTATCTTGTGCAGATGACTTTGTAGATAGTCGTGACCAGTGCAAATCCCTTCTCTACGATCTAACACTCCGAGGCACCAATGTGGTCCTTCAGTGGATTCCGAGCCATTGCGGTATTCCAGGAAATGAGGAAGCGGATAGTCTCGCCAGGAGGGGAGCAGAATTGCCACAAACAGTCCATCCAAAATCCTAGGATTCAATTCGGCGAATGGTGAGGATGATAGTGAAGGAGGAAACAAAAAATATGCACAAAGACAAGGTGGAAGGGAAACGTTATGGATGTTTGATGGAAAACCCGATCCCCGCAGACCTACCAAGAAGAGATGCAGTAGCCTGCTTCCGCCTGGCCACTGGTCACGACTATATTTTTTTAATCTATAATATTATTAAAAACATTTTCTAATATCTTCACTAAGTCAATAGAACTCCGATTTCTCCTGCATCTGCTAGAGGTCGAGGATGTTGTGATGAAGGTTCCAGAGAGTCCAGATCGGAACATTGTGGGTTCGACTTCTGCCTGTGTCAGGTAATATTTATTTTTCGACGATCCCGCGAAATGAATTCCCACTTTTATTTTTTTTATCCCCTACCTAGATATTGCTTTCATATAGTGGAATGCATGGTTATTCAAAAGGTATAACCAATCTACCCAGAGCAGGAAGAACGAGATTTGTCCCATAAGTCTGCAAATAAATAAATTTCAATCCACCTTAGCCTGTTTGAACTGTCGCTCTAAGCTCGAGAATGTTTTAGATGAGAAGCAGGAAACGTTTTAAGGCGCTAGGCTTTCACAGCTTCTAAGTGAGTGTACATACCTGTATTCCTATGTATATCTGAAAGCTGGATTTCGACAAAAAGGAAGACAATATGAATTTAAGGAATGAAAAGTTTCATACTAAGAGATAAGAAGAAAACATGAAACAGACCACAGCAAGTGTAGTTGTGTATAATCTACGATTTTTCTAATTCTACTTTCCCTTGCTCTGTTTTTAAGAATATAAGAGCAATGAAATATCTTGGTAGTGGGAGAAGGGGGAGGGGAGATATGTTCTTGATTCATCGACCTTCAGGGAAATGAGCACCCCTGTGTTGTGGTACACGTATTTTGTTTTTAAATGTATATTGTATGCTAAACTAAGCACAACTGTGTGATGCCACAAGGTCCACCTCATTAAGACAAAAGAATCTTTAAACCAATCCGTTGATATTTGACGTTTTCCATGGATTCCAATATAACACCGAGTAACATATGGCAACAATGATTTTAAAGAATAAATCGTTATTAAATAATAATCGATTTAATGTTTTAGTCTAAACCTTGCCAATATTCCTATGTTGTGTAGGTCGCTTTAAAATGTACAAAAGGATAATTTTTCTTTTTACTGAATGCCGATCAAAAATTTGTGAAATTGATGAAACCACTCTTTATTCCATCAGAAATGAGGACATTTATGAAAAATTATTGACTTGAAGCATCAACAAATCTTAACCTCAACAATGCCTTGGAAGATTCAAATAAAGGAAAAGTTATCAGAAGAGATGTTGTATCGCATGAAGAAGAAGTCAACATATTAATCAATTCAGTCTAGATCTTAATCAATTACTAATCGGCAGAAGAGAAGAAAATGAAGATTCTATTGTCTAAAAGAATGTAGTGAACCATTTAAAAAGTTGACTTATCGTGCATATAAACTATCGCTAATAGATTTTTTCTAAAACTGTTAACTGTTTGGGCAAAACATGTTTGGAAAATACCAATTGCACTATTTATGAAAGTTTTCATTTGAATAACCAATATAAATTTCGGCAAAAAACGTAAAAGTGAATACTGTATGACTATGTGAATAGTTCAATAATTTTATATCGAACATAAAACCGTGTACTTGAACCTAAGTTAATAAGACTTATTCTGCAGATTCTTTAATATTTAAAAATAAAAATTAATCTAATAATTTAGTAGATAAATCTCAATTGTAAATTGATTTCAATTGCCGAGTTTGAGAATTGATCAATCTAACAAAGCATATCGAGAGTACTAAAAGCTTTAACCAGTAAGAATTTGTTTAACCACTAACTGAAGACCAAACTGAGCAAGAGAGATGGAATGCAATAGTGAAAGAGTGGAGAGGGGCTTTAGTAATGTAAATTAATTTGGCTTGTAACATTATTTGAATTATAGTTTTAAAGAAAACTACTCACACTTTCCCTTCCAAGAGCAAAGTAGTAACAGTCTCCATTACGTCTTTCTTCATTGTGAAATTTGGTAATATAAATAAAATTCCTTTTAAAAAACTAAAAAAAAACAATTTCTTTAAAAAAGAAAAATTTTCATATAAGGCGTTAATTTAGCCTATGTAAGGCGGGGTATTATTTACATAGAGGTTATTTTCGTCATCTGGTAAAAACTAAGAAGGTTTTGAATTAAAAATAAAACTGTAGTTAGTGTCATTTCTCTTAACTAATTGTATCTTACTCGGACTAAGTATCAGAACAATAAAAATTAAGAGTACATGATAACAAAATAAAAGTATAGGTTACAGCAGAGTTAGGTCTTCGATTAAGTCTAACTTCTTTCTGCCACATTTGAAATATGTAAATTTGGTAATTGTCAATGTTCTGTTACTTAAAAATAGATTTAAGGATTAAGTGAAAATAATGATTTGAGAACATGATGGCTGCATTCCAATCTCATTAGTATCTGTCTCCATACCCAGAAGTATTAGGCCAAAACGTTTGCCTTAAAGGAACTTCGTGAAATGATCATGCTATCACTAGATCTACCCTGTGGTTGAGAAACGTGGTTGAAAACACGTAGATATATCTCATATTCATTGTGTAGGAATTAAGAATATTCTTATCATGATATCTTTCACCCATCCAACAAAGTGATGCAACTTATATTTAGTTCTTTCTTCGCGTGGGTCTGCAACACGTTATCGTGTCTAGGTCTGCTCAATAAACAACCGAATCTCTGTCAGTTGATGCTGCCATCCAGTTGCGGACTCTGAGGCTCTTTGCGTCTCTTGCCACACAATCAATCCAGCAAAGCTTTGGCCTACCTACCCTTATTTGTCCGTTAATGGCATCCAAAAGCAGTTTCTTCGGTACCTGCTCGTCACACATCCTCGCTACATGATCTGACCAATCTGGCTCACTCACATTGGAAACGATGTTTAGCTCACTATCTCTTGATTGGTCCTCCGCCATCTTCAGTTAATATTGACAGGTATAAATAATCACAGAAGAATCTTTCTCTTGAACAGCAAGATACTTTAACACTTTGATCGCTGTCCAGGTCTCTGCACCATATGTGAGGATTGGGCGAATTAAAATTATGTACAAAATAATCTTTGTCCTGCTTGAAATGAACCAAGTGGTGTCTCAATCCATCGTATCTGCGGTTTGCGGATATCCTTCTTATTCTGATATCGACATCCATTCCATTATCACATGTAATTTGACATCTCATATACGTAAATTCAGTAACTTGTTCAAAGGAGTAGTTTCTAAACCGCACTTTCTCTCCGGACATAGGGGCCTGCTTGAATATCATGTACTTGGTTTTTTTTTGGTTGATCTTTAGTCTTCTAGTTTTTTATTTGAGAGCAAAAAATGTCTATCTTATTGCTTGCACTAATCTAACCACGGTTTCTACGTCATCTGTCAGTAGCTATACCGACCTGTTGAAAATTGTTAGCGACGTCTGAATACCTGAATCCTGCATTTTCCATTGATTGGGTAAACAGTAAACATGCTAAGGCAGTCGCTTGTCGGGCACCTCTCATTGACTAGAAGATTTACGACCCATTTCCCTGTATCTTTTATCTTTTTCTTGTTCTTATCTACCCCACCTTTTAGGCTATACTTGATTTTCCCGGGCCAGAGGGTGAGAGCAGGAAATTTGAAATTTAAAATCCTCTCCAGCACCGGGACGCGAACTCGTACTTTATTAATATCATAACTCCGGTTATCTGATTGCCGGGACATCCGCGGTGCTGTGCACACGCGTTAGCCCATTCGGTCACCTCGCCCAATTTCCCTGCATCTGTATAGCACTTTCCATTTCTGTCATGGTAAGTTTTAATAGTCTTACCAGCTTCTGAGAAATCAGTAATTCTCCCCGAGGGTTTCCCGATTAATGCATTCGTATGCTTCTTTGATAATCTAGGAAGAGGTGGTGTGTCTTGAAATTCCTTATCCTTCTCTAATATTGTTCTAGAGATAAATATTTGGTTCATTGTAGATTTGTCTCTTTGGAATCCGGAATGAAAAGAACCTATTTCTCTCTCGGCGAACTGGAGTTATCGTTTAAATAAAAGGATGGATAGGACCTTGTAAGCGCAGGGTGAAGTGAAGTGCCACGGAAGTTGCAACAATCATAAGGATCTCCTTTCTTGTAGATTGAGCAAATTATGAATTTATTCCATCCATTTGAAATCACCCATATGTCTAAGATGTGGTTGTGATGAGCCTTTTCAAGACCAAGACCTCAATACTTCAGAAGCTCAGGTGGGATATCATAAATCCCTGGTTCCTTATGATTATTTAGTTTTTCAAGAGCATCTGTAACCTCCTTATCATTGGGTGGTTCCACGTCTTCTGATTTGGTAGATCCATCTACATTTTGCTACTTAACCTGCCATCCTCCTTAAATGGCTGTTAAATGCCTCGTCCATTTAACCAACTGTGCGCCTCTTTCTGTACAAATATGTTGCCTTGAGAATCTTTCCAAGCTGCGTGATTGTAATTGAATGAACATTCGTTATGGATGGACATTCGTTGATGGACTCATAGAATTTCCGAACATTTCCATCTGTTATAAATGTTTCGGCAGTTTCAATTCCTGCCTTTTCCTTTCAAGATGGCGGCCAAAACCTGCGTTTCTATTGACTCTAGCGTCTAAACGAATGTATCGATTTCAATGAAACATGGCCAAAGTCTTCTTCTCAATGGCCTATAAATTTATATATATATATAACATATTTCAACGAAAAGAAGCTGGGAAAAAAGTTAAGAGGGATGGTAAAATTAGATTTCGAATAACTCAAAAAGTATACTCATTTTTGTAGTATTACACAGGCGAATCTACGGAGGGAGGGGTGCCTTTCGGGCTGAAGCCACCCCAAATGGTAAAATGTATCCATGTTTATGATAAAAAATTATCTCTTAAAGTATTATTGCTCGTGTAATTTCATTTAATAGGACTTCAAAAATCACTTAAATACCATTTCATATAGGTAGTTATTATCTATTTTTTTTTTCAAGGTAAATATCGTTATATATATGAAAAAAAAGCTTTCGGGCTGAAGCTCCTCCCAAAATTAAATCCTGGATCCGCTAGTGAGTTATTGTATATAGTTATTTAAAAGATTGTAAATTTTCCTAATAAACAAAAAAAAAATTTGAAATGGGGCCTTGATTAACCTATGAAATAATTTAGTTTTCATCGAAAGAATTTTAAAATTTTATTTTGTTTATCTATGTAACAAAAAGTTTGCGTGCGTGCTTACGTACGTAAGTATGTGTCTGTATTCATTGTCATGACAACTTTATACCCATGGAAGAAAATTCCTTAAAAAAAATTTGTAATAAGTATGAAAACGTTTCCAAGTTAATTTATTGTCGTTTAGAAAAAATGATTGTCGTTTTGACCTTGTAGCTTGAAAATATCTGCAAAAACTGAGACAAACAATGTTTTATTGATTATTATTGGAAGATTATTTTAAATTTAAGGCGTTTAATGACTTTAAAAGCTACTGCTTATTATTATCAAAATATATTGTCATTATATTTAATTATGACTGTTCAGCTATTAATTGCTATTATATGTTCTCTATTTATAAAGTGAAACGAATTGAAATAAATAAATATAAGTTTTTAATCTTTTCCTAGTGATTAAAGCTGCCTTTGCGACTCACTCCCATACACATTTCTCTAAAAATATAAATGCAAGAGTAAAAAGAAAAGAAATGTATCTAAAAAGTATCTCGCCATGCGTGTGTAGGTATCAAAATTATTGAAATTGAATTATGAGTAGCTATGAGTATAAATAACTATTTTAAATTTATTTTGTGAGAATACACTGAATATAAAGAACACAATTATTTATAATAAAATAATTTTTATTGTTTCAAGTTTCTTTTCGAACTTTATCTATTGAAAAAGTAAGCTTCTTGTTTGTTTTGAAGAGGGCGCTATAGACAAAGAATGGTTTCCAATGAATTTCGTTCTAGGAAGGTTGTGTTATGATGTTTACAAAAGATTAAGTACGTAAATTTCTTTCTTACTTTTAATGTTTGTATTTTCTTATGCTTAAGACTAAATGTGTTTAATTTCGGATTGATAGTAGTTATTTTAAATAAAGAAATTCAATCAACTGTTGTGATAATTTGTGATATACTATAACAACGCATTTATGGATAATAAACATAAGGGATTGTTATATCCTATTGATAATGTATATTTATCAATTTATATCTTAAAATATTATTGATAACATTAATTTGAATGCTTGGGCGTGATTTTGGATGTTTATTTTTTTTTTTTGTAAGTAATACATTCTTTATAATAAACTCTTTTATTTCTAGGAATATTGGAATTGTTATTGACATGACAGAATTCGATAAGTTTGGTCGTAGAAGGAAATTTCAAAGAGAATTATATACTCCTGGAAGTGGTCCTCTACGGAAATCAGGAAAAGAAGATACACCTCCCAGAGATGGTGCTTATAGGAATATCGTAGATTATAAAAGTGGTCCTTCAACTGATAGAGCAGCAGAGCTTAGCAAAGTTACTGAAAAACTAAAAGAGATTTCTTTAACAAATTCGAATGGTGTTAATGAGCCAAGAAGCAATGATACTTCAAGAAGAAATAGGAAACCTGACTGTGAACTTTATGTACCCAAACCGGTTGCTGAAGCCTATGCCAGTCGTCAGAGAGGAAGGGATTCGAAAAGTCAAGAAAAACTGGAGACTCGGCCAGAGTCTGAATTGAGTAAAAATTTTGATTCAGTTCAAGCAAATTCAAACAGTGACCGGAGAAGAAGTCAAGATAGGTCGGTTAGAAGGAGGGATAGGAGAAAGAAAACTAGAAGTTGTATAATTGAAGATGATAATGCTAGCAGTGAAGAGAAAAGTCAATCATTACAGAAGTACAAGTCTCGTGAATCAATATACAATGAAGATAGGGATTATTCTCGAAACAGATCGGTACGTCAAGGCTCTGAACCAGCACCTGTAACATACGCACAAGACAGATTGAAAGATTTAAGAAGTATTGACACTTCTATGTACGCACCAGATAAAAATAATTCTAAACCTCCACTTGGAAGAAGGGGAAGTTTAAGTAAAACTGGCATGAAACTTCCTGCTACTTTTGACTGTCTACCTCCAAGATTACAGAAGAAGTATATTGCTGAAAATGCTATTCATGATCTCAATAAGACATCCTCTGTTGGAAGCAATGTAGAAAATAGTAGATGGGATGGACACAGTTTAACTTTTCAAGGAAAACCAGGAACTCGCAATGATCAGCAGCAAAATATGAAAAATCCACCAGTAGATAAAATTTCAAGAGGTTTTGCAGAATGGTCTAAAACTCTCCCTACTCCTGTTCGTTCGAAAGGAAGAGGTAGATTGAATCGAGAAAGTCATGCTGATCTATATGAGCCATTGCGGCATTCCCGGTCACTTACTCCTGAAAAACTAAATGATAGCCGATTTGAGAATGCTCCTAATGAACTAGAAATCAGTCCAAATCAAGGAAAAATAAAAACAAATGAAAAAGAGAGTAGAGTTTTTAGGGAATTGTCTGATTCTGCTCAGATTACTTCTGAAAACAAAAAGGACAAAATGGGAAATAGAAGTAATGTGATTGATAACTGTGAAGAAACAAGAAAACCGTCTGAATGTTCTGATACAGAGAATGTTATAGTAAGTATGTTTACTTTTTGTTAAAAAGGTTATGTGTGAAAGTATTTACATACCAGGAGACAACTTTTCGTTTACAGAACTAAAATAAAGTGTTGGGTTAATAAGTTAATAAAGGTTCATGTTATACATTTCTTTTTTTTATTATCTATTATTTTTTAGATTAAATAGTATCTTATTAATGGAATACCATAGTGGATCTTGGATCTTTCAGGTTAACTTGTCACCACTGATAATAAATTATTTAAAAATGTTACATCAGTTTATATAATTGAAGTAACAAATATTTTATAAGTAATTGGCCATTATTTTTCATTGTCATAGTTTCATAATTTTCTTCTTACAACTCTTGGGGAAATTTATTACGTTCATTCTTGGGTCTGTACAATAATAATGTTTTGAGAAAAAAAAGTTGAAGCAATATTTCAGTACTACTTCCCAATTGTTGCTCCACTGTGATTTATGGGCTAAGGTCACGTGATCATACTGTAGATGCTTATCATAAGATTATAAGATGTTGTGCCCACACATCAAAGTTAAGTAAAACGTAAGGGGCGTAGTGGCCGAGATGAATTTTTGAATTTACTACTTTAAGATTGCAGATGGTTTCAAGATCACATGAGCATACTGTAGATGGATCTTGTGGAAGCTCAGTAATTGACACATATTCAATGAAGAGTACAACAATGATAGACGTTTAATTATTAAGATTATAATTATTAACTGTATCAACTATGATCAACTGTATTAATATGTTTCACAACGTTTTTTTTTTTTGTTATGCGATATCTTTCTTTATACTTCGTTAAATTGAATTATTGAGCCATCATTTTGTTGATTAACTTCTCCTCCTTGGCCGAAAAATAAGCATATCCCCTAAAAATAGGCAGGAAAAAAAATTTCGAAAATAAGGAAACTTAATTTGCACATAATTCTAAAAGTATACAATTTAGATAATAGATTGAATTCCGGGTATTATTATTTTTATTCATAGTTATTGTGCTTAACAATCCAAATGTGTACAGGAGGTCATGATTATCATAGGCTGTAAAAATTAAAAATATATTTATTTCAGTATCTATTTCCTTGAAAGGAAGTGAACGTAGTGGAGACTATTGCTGACCTAAACTAATGTGATTTACGAACAAGGGATTGGGGAGTGGTCATCTCCCATCTCTCTTCGGATACATTTCAAAGTTTAGTTATTCCAGAATTCCATCAACAATGTGCTCAATGTGATCTCGAAACTAGTTACCCTTTTGGAGTAGTGATTTCGGAACTAATATCCTTATTTCTTTTTACCTCAATAGAAACCCATATTAACCTCAATTATTACAATTTTATTGGTTTTTTAGTCTCATTGGAGTGATTGAGAAATAAAAACACCACAATGAAGTTAAATAAAATATATCACAAACTAAATATATATAAATATATATTTACTTTTTGAACAAAATCTTGACTGATATTTCTTATTTTAGATTGTTAAGTAATTGAAAAACAACTATCAATGATTTTTTATTTTATAAGGAAGCTTTAAGATATAAATTTGAGAACGTTTTATTTTTATACTATTCGTTTTGTCGGTTTTATTACTCACAGGTGTGATTATTAAACTGGAAATGGTTAAAATAGAAATAGAAAGTATGAAAAAGAATTTTAGAACTATTTATTAAGTATGCTTAAGGAAAGGTTTCGACTAGATTGAAGAAAGTGGTATGTTTGACTTGGGATAGGATTAAATAGAATTTAAACTTAATATTGAAATCAAAATCAAATTATAAATATATACAATGTTATTTTATTGAGAACATAATCAAAACTAATTAGTATTGTTTAATGCAACTTAAAAAAATAATTTTCATTGGTGGCAGAATACTTACTAATAAAATATACAGGTGGCAGTGTACATGTGGTTACAGTTATTTATTACTTATTTATAATGAAATGTATTTTGAATTTTTGTATTCAATGTTGTTTAGGCAGTGATTTTTCATTCTTTTAATACTCATTTGTCACAAAAACACAGATAATAGCTTTATAGTTTATTAAGTCAATGTGCGAATAATGTTATCCAATATCATTTTGAAAATATTTTGACTTTTTTTTTTTGTTCACTCTTAAATCTAAACAGAATACACAGCTGAAATCTAAAAAAAAAAAAAAATATTTATTATTTTAAATACTTTTCAATCCAAATTTTTTAATAATGTTTTCAATTTTAGTTGCACGGTAAAGCTTTTAATTTTATAAATATTAAGCATATAATTTTAAAGAAACTGTTTTAATTTTATTTAGTGGTAAATTATTGAATTTAATAAATCTTTTAGTTTGTAAACAGTTTTTCATACCCTTAAAATTTTTTAATGCATTATATTTTTTTTTATATTCGGCATACAATTTATTCAAACCAAATAAAAAAGTACATTTTTTAGTTTGTATTTTTGACTGAAGATACTTGTGTTAGCTTACTATTGTTTAACTGTGACAAGTTCTGAATTTGAATTCATGGTTAATATTTTTGAATTGGAAAGAAGCTAAAAATGTCTGTATTTTACAATAAAATTTCTAAAGTTCTTAATAAAATAATGAAGCACTTCTCAGTTAGTTATCTTTGATTATGGTCTGGACCTTGATATTATTTTTTTTATCAAGTCAAAACATATGTAAGTCTTGGAATTGTTATAATTCATTTTTTCTTATATACAATTTTTTTTTTTACTTAAAATAATTCATATACATAGTTAATACATCACATTTGTGAATTTTAAAGTCTAGTAAACTTTAGTATGTTTAAAAATTGAAAAAAAAAGAAAGAAAAAATGAACTGTTGGTATATAAATTTAGTTTTATTTTTTCATATATGGCTAGTGCATGCTTTTAATTTTAATTCAAAGTTATAATGTGGCTTGAAATATCGAAATAGGATTGGGCTGCTGAAGTGGAAAGGTGTGAGCAGCAAGATACTATACCTCTTTCCCGTTCTAATTCAAGAGAGTCTTTCGCAGAGCCAGCACAGCCACCTCAAAAAGAGAGAAAGAAAAGAAAAAAACGGTATATCTGTTTAACTATAATTGTATCAAGCATGCCTCCTGATAACCCAGATATATTTTTCAAGTAAATAATTTTTCCCTTTTCTGTTATCTTCTTTAAAGATTATGAAAATGTTTATTGGATTTTAATTAATGTTTAGGCAACTAAACTTTCATTTAAAACTATTTTATTCTTTTGTAATTGTCGAATTAAAAAATTTAACGTTTCGAAGTATTATAAGTAACTTAATATTTATATATATATATATATAGAGATGAAAAATAGTTAGGCTATGCAGTCATTAATGGTGTTATCCTTACTATTTTTATTCTAATTTTAACATCTCTCTAAATAATGTTTATATATATATATATATATATATATATATATATATATATATATCTTTATCTTTAAATATGTATAGCTATAACTTTATTCAATTTAGAGTTAAGATATTAAAAGAAATGGGTAATAATTCATTTTGCTACTACGAGATGGCAGCCAATGCCAAGATCACCAAGAGCACACCATTCCCATATTCCAATGAATGTTGAATGTAGCCGAGTGTTGACAATCCTGTTTACATCTAACTCCTGACCTATAAGAATTGTTGAGATTATTTTATATTCCCGCTTTTCTAACATGCTAATTTGTAAAATTATAAATTATGTAAATAGGAAAATATCTTCTACTTTTTTTTATTCCTGATACCCTTACCTCGCCATTTCTGGTATATTCCAAGAATTCCAAGCCAGATTCGGACTGTCGTTGTTAGACTTAATAATGCTAAAGTTTACACTTTAATATGTTCGTCCATCATGACCTCGAAAAAAAATATCTTCTGCTGAAAAATAAGTTGATATAGCTCATTAGCCTTCAACTCAAAATGGTGATATACGTAATTAAAATTTTAACTCTTCCCCATTGATAGGTATGAAAAAATATAAATAACAAGATATCTATAGAGAAAATACATATAATAAAAAATTTTGATTGCTACGAAAATTTATAACATCATAATTGTTGTTACTCATAATTAATAATCTATTTATCACATCGGAGAGAGTGATTATCTGATCGTATTCTTAAAAATCATATTTATTTCAATATTTTAACAATTATTATCGACTATTATAATTAAATACAAATTTCCCTCTTTAAATGGTGGGTAATTTACAACCGAGAGTTTAGGATAACTAGACTCCTTCTTCTTTCGCACACATTTGGTTATTTTTGGGAATCTCTGAGCGATCTTGGAGCAGTAAAAGGGAATTAGTACCAAAAAATGATAAGCAATGATTTGTCATACTGAAACGTGCATATCACAATCTGGTATTTTAACTAGTTATATTGTTATCACTAAGTATCGTATTTATATCATTATTAACTTCTATTTATCAAAAAAAATCCTCTTTTATTATTATAATTGAGAAAGTATTTTTATTATTGTTTTTTTACTCGTATCTTTAAATTTTCTTATCCTTTTGTTTATAATGATGGTTGTGAATTCAAAATTGTATATTTGAATCATTCGCATTTCTCCTTTTAGGAGGGCAAAACCTTAGTTTGAAAAAACGGTGGAGAAACACATTTTTTTTTTTGTTCACAATAAATTTTGACTTAAATTATGATAATTAATTTTTTTGTTTTATTTTTGTTCTAGGCATGCAGCTAAGGATAAAAATGACAGGTAATTATTTACAAATTTAATCATTATGATATGATTCTTTTAAATTTTGTCTTCTAAAATATGAAATGCTCGTTTTTATGTAATTTTTTTAAAATATATTGTGTGGTCAAGTGTTCATAAAATAAAAGCACAGACTTTCCTTTCGGTTGGGGGCGCAATAGACTCCACAAAAAAGCCTCTTGAGTTTATATTATCTGTAAAAATTATGAGCGATAATTAATATTATCACCATATAATAATATTAACATATAAATATTGTGAAATGAACAATATAATACTATATAGATGATATATAAATAAACTTTATGTAAGTTTTTATTTTATTTTATTTTTTTGGCTTTTGCGTATATTTTGAAATATTTTAACAAATCAATTGAATATATTACATATTTTTATTTTTATTTAAAGTATTGAGATAGTGAGATAAACTCTCAATTCTCTGAAATGTTATAATACCTTCATGTAAAAATGGAAGGGTGCATATAAATAAAACATATAATTCTTGGATACTTTGCTACATACAATTAATTATTTTTGAATATAAACTAAAATTTCAATAATAGAAACATAGGATATGGTAAAATACTAGCGTACCTAGTTCTAGACCATCTAGTTGGCTATTCCTAGTTGATTTTAGTTTATATAATTTATTCATTCATGTAGATTAATTGTTATTGATTTTGATTTTATTTTTGTCCTTCAAAATATTGGGGGGCGGGAGAGGGGTGAGGGGAGGGGCGAAATGATATTCTCGTCTTCTCTCTATTTTTATTGGGAGAGGCGGTGATTGTAGGTTTTTCTTTTTCCTGATGTTGAAAACTAATTTGCTCTCAAAGTTTTAAAACTAGATTTTCCTACATTTATAAAATTTTAAATTTATACATTATTGAATAAAGTTGTTGTTTTATTATATTTATTTATTTTATTTTAACTGTTTTTAGTCTCATTTCACTAATAATACGTTTTATATGTTTTAGAGGTAAGAACTGTGAAGATTTGAACACAAATTTAATTCGTCGTGGATCAATGGATAGTATTTCAAATTATAGCCGAAACAACAGCATCGAAAGAAACTGGCGGGAACGGAGTAACAATGATGGTCGTAGTAGGAAAAATTCATCGTGTGACAATCGGAGTCGACAGAGCAGTATTGACAGGAGAGAAAATTTCAACAACAGATACCCAAGAAGTAGAAAAAATTCTTCTTGTGATAACCGGAGCAGACAGAGCAGTTCGGACCGGAGGGACAGGTATTTCGGCGGAAATGGAAGAACTCGTCATGGAAGGGAAGAAGGTGGCGGTGGCGGAGGTGGTAGACGTCGAGGAAAAAGTAAAGATGATAGAAAAATACCGAGACTCCTCGAAGAGACTAATTGGCGCCTAGAACAAGAGATCATCTCTCGAGAGAAGGAAAAAACTAGTCCCAATGCTAACAGCAACAGCAGCGGAAAACAGGCCGGAATTCTTATTCTTCCTCAGCCTTTAATGGAAGGCCAAAATGCAAATGTTCGACATGTTCAGACGGCTCTTCCAGCATCTCATAAAAAACTCTTTGATCCGAGTAATCCTGATAAACCAATAGTCGTGTCGAACATGAGACAAGCGACGGAAGATGACCAAAAGTTTCTTTGTAACGGATTTTATCCAGAACTTCCGATGCTCATTAATGCCAACATGGCTGAACAGATGACGAGTGTTAAGCCTATTTGGTACAATCCATTTACTGAAAAGTAAGTAATTATATTTAAACTGTTTATTAGGTTGAATAGAAATAAGTATAGAAATGAAGAGAAGAATAGTTGGGGTGATCAGTCAAATAAGGCAAAAATAAATGATAATATTTATTTTGACATTTGCCGACATTTCGACCTGAAGTTCAGGCCTTCATCAGAGCTAAGAAAAGAACCAGATAACAAGGTATGAGAAACATAAGTAGTGTAGGTAAAATAATTAAAGTAAAATGAAGTTGTTAGAATATTTACTTTATTTGCTTTAATTTTTTTGAGATGAAGGCCTGAACTTCAGGTCGAAACGTCGGCAAATGTCAAAATAAATATCATTTATTTTTGCCTTCTTATTTGACTGATCACCCCAACTATTCTTCTCTTCATGATTCACGACAGTCAACCATTTTACCCACAGTCATAAGTATAGAAGTGTTTTAGCATAGTTTAAATTTGATCTCAAAGTGTCAAATAAACTTGGACTTCATAGTTTTCAAAATCCTGTAAAAAAGAATATTTTTTTAAAGTAGTGGATGCAATTTGAAATTTTTCGATAATTTTTTTTTCACTAATTCTTAGCTTCCCTCCAACATTAGGCCTAATTGTATGAACGATTTCATAAATATAGGCATGTCTAAGAAAATACATAAATGTGTAAATAAGCAAAATTAGTGGATGAAACTGTTATGTGACCATCGACGTGCACCAGGGGTACGCAGAAGGGGGTTTCTTGGCACAGGTTGTGCCATCAAGATTTTTGAGGAGGGTATATTTTGAGAGGAGGGTATATTTTGATGGGTTTTTGAGTGGCGTAAATTTCGGCTGGGTTATGAATTTTCGGAGAAAGGGACAAGGGGAAAAACATGGAACATATCACAGCGAGTGTAATTGTATATGATCTACGATTTTTCTAATTCTACCTTAGTTTGCAATGTTAGTATTCTTTCTCTGGCTGATTTTATTGATATCACCGTTTTTTTAAATCTTTGTGCCCAATTTACTTGTCTATTCACGGGTGACTGCAAACCGGCAATATCAGCAAATATCAAAATTTGTTTTTGCTATTTGCTGATATCAACAAAGAAGAAGAATATTTATCATGTTAGCATAAGATGATTTTGTTTAATATATGATGAAGATATGTGGAATAAAGGAAATTAAGTTTAAAAAAAAATTGTTTAATTTTTTTGGGCAGTTAAATTATTACACTAATATTTGTTCTTTAACAAAATCAATATAATATAATACAAAAACCGTTATTATAGCACTATAACTAAGCCATTTATGAGTACTGAATGGTATAGGCCTGTAGGCACCTACGCCAGTACCGCTTTTCTGCCGATTAAGTGCATTTTCTACAGAACTACTTCAAATATTGTAAAAAGTAATGAGTGTTTTAGAAAGAAAAATATATTCCCCAGATGTTTTATTTCAGCACATTTTGTGTTATTGTTGTAATTGTTAAATTACAAAGGACGCTTGATTTTCAACTTCAAAATTTTGTTGTTGATAAAATTGACTTTACTGTTGTTTTTTATTGCCTATGGCAATTATTTTTGAATATTTTTTCTTGTTTTCTGATTATCCAGCTTTAATAAAAGATCAAATATCACGGAATTAAGCCAAATGCTGATTTCCAATCAATAGTCAATGCTGATTGACCAAAAAACTAGCTAAAGTCAAATTCGTCAGTCCGCCATGTTGCGACACTATTTTGGGGCAGTTCGTTCACTTTTTTGGGGGAACAATAGCTTTTTTTTTAATAAATAGTTACAAGGAATACAAATAATTCAAAAACTTAAGTCCCCCTAAAAATTTGAGTTTTTACATTTCAGAAAGCGTAGAACGTGAAAATCGAATAAAAAAATTGTATGGTTGTTCAAAAGTTTACGAAATTTCCTCAAAAAAAAAAAAAAAAAAAATCGTTAAAATCGGACAATTTGGAGCAAAAATATGATGTCTAGATATTTTGGTTTATTATTTTCAATAATGATCCATTGTAATAGAAAAAAAAAAATTCAAAAACTTAACTCCATAACAAAATTTGAGGTTTAACGTTTCAGGATAGGTAGAAATATATATAGGTAAATAATATATAACCTGAATTTTCGTCTATAAATAATAAAGGGCAGTTAACTCGAAAGAATGTTGATAAACTTTGGCCAAAAATCTGTTTAAATATTTATAATAATAATTAAAAAAAAGAGATTTGTCATTATAAGCATGTCTACGCTTATGCAGTAAGCCGACTGAGATATTTGGTTTAAAAAAAAAAAACTTCTGTTTGTTTTTTTATCATATCTAACTATTAAAATTAGAGTTAATATTGTAGAGTAATATGATTAAATTACGTCAGAATCCTAAAAAGTATCTTGGCAGTCAACTAGTTAACAATTGTGGTTCTACTTAGAAATAATTCTGTTAGTTAACTCTTTTCTTTTTCGTTATTATATAGCCATAATCAATTGTTAAAGCTATATTAAAAATGAATACCTTATTTTGTAATTCGCTACTATTTTTTAAAATAATAGTTTTCAGGCATCTCATAATCCACATCTCATTCGTGCTATTGAACAAGCTGATTGTGAATTACAATATTTGCTCTCTACCGGTGAATTGTTGAAGTACTGGGATCGGATGCAATTAATCAGGTATTAGTTTTATTATTTAATATAAGTTTTTATATTTAATATAATATAAGTTTTATTATAAGTTGTAATAATTTATCGTAACTGATATTTGAGAGAATCGAGGCTTGTTTTGATATCTTCCAGCAATATCCTAACAATCTATTTTTTTCTTCAATTTTTTCTCAAATTTAAAATAAATGTTTAGTTGTGATTTTTAAATTTCATCAGATTACTCATTTTGTTTTGTTATTATTTTTTTTTTTTTTTTTTATGAATAGTCTAATGAATAATGAATCATTTTAATATAGTTGGTGATGAATAATGTGTTAAAAGATTTGGAATGCTACATTTACAACAACAGTAAAAAAAAGTATACTTTTGTAAAATACATTTGTTTGAATTGCTTATATACAGGGTGTTTCGTAATTGCACAGCACTAATTTAGGTATGTGTTCACTAACACAAAATAAATAAAAAAGTTCATATTAACATATATCTCAAACTCATTAATTAAACAGATATCAAAGGTTAAAGATTTATTATTTATTTACTACATTAAGACTGATTGTACAAAGTTTAACGTGTTTAATGCTAAATAACAGGTTTTAATCACCTGATAAACAAATAAACAATAAGCAATGACACTAGTTGCTCATCTGTTTGTCTAGTTCTATGTTTTAGTGTGAGTGAATACTGTGACATAGTTCAATTTATGATTATCATTGGAGACACTGTAAATTTATTCACTTTTGCAGAACAAACAAACATGCTTTTAACTTATGGAAAGGTACATAGAAACGGTGCTGCTGCTGTTTGAAGATATTGTGAAAAATTTCCTAACCAAAGAATACCAATTGTAAAGCGTTTGAGGCCATTGAAAAACGCCTTAGCGATAATAGTATGTTAAAACCTATACGAGTAAACGCCAGTCAACAAAGATTTCAACGAACTGCAAACATTGAAGAAGTACTCGATGCTGTTCAGTTATCTTCTACTACTAGTACCTGAAGATTGTCACGTTGTTTCGATGTTTCGTCTACCAGCGTATGGCGAACTTGACGCGAACAACAATTGTATCCATTTCACGTATCGAGTAGGCAAAATTTGTTACCATAAGATTATAACAAGCTCAGAAATTTCTCCCAGTGGCTAATTCGACAATGCCTACAAGATCCTAACTTCCTGAACTGCATTTTGGTTACTGATGAATCTTGCTTTAGAAGAAACGGGATTCTTAATTTTCGAAATACCCATACTTGGGCTGAACAAAACTTTCATACGACTGCTGTTGGACATTACCAACATACCTTTTCTTTAAATGTCTGGTGTGGTCTTCTAAGTGACATCATCGGTCCCTTCTTTTTGCCACCTTATCTTAATTGCATTTTTTCCTAAAATGAACTCCTTGAAGATGTTCCACTAGGCGTCAGGCAAAGGCTGTGGTTTACGGTGCTCCAACACACTTTTGTAATAGTAGTGTCACAGATTATTTAAATGGAACTTATGGAGACCAATGGGTTGGTCGAAACGGACCTGTTAAATGGCCACGACGATCTCCGGATTTAATACCATTAGATTATTTTGTGTGGGGCTGGATGAAGTCTATGGTTTATTCTGCGGCAGTTGGCACGCAAGAAGAGCTAAGAAATCGGATCGTGGAAGCCGCAGTAACTATCAAGCACCATCTTGATGCTATACGAAGAGCCAGAGAAGCATGGATTTGTCGTGCTGGATGTTGCAGTCAACAAGACGGAGGCCTCTATGAACAGTTACTCTAAATGTTGTAATAATAGTAAATCTTTAACCTTTGATATCTGTTTAATTAATGAGTTTGAGATATATGTTAATATGAACTTTTTTGTTTATTTCGTGTTAGTGAACACATACCTAAAATAGTACCGTGCAATTATGAAACACACTGTATATGTATGTATAAATAAAAATAATAAAAATATCACTACAAAAAGTTATATTTTGTGCTGAAAGAAATATTTTGTCTGCCTGTCTTAAGATATTTCTTTCCATTTATCTGCACGCAGCTCTGTTGCATCTTTGTTGATTCTATCTATCCATCTGCATTTTGGCCTTCCATTGAGGCATTCATTGTTACGTAGAGGCTTCCAGATGGATTGCTATGAGCTACATGCCCTGCCCATCTTAAGCTCCATGCCTTCATATCATTGGATATTGATTGATTGAGTTTCTGTAAGCAGTTCTTTATTAGTACTTCTTCTCCATGCGTTACATTATCGAGTATTATTTTATACTTCATTGACAATCGACATGCCACTCTTATCCCAGATCGCTCAGGTTATCGTGCGGAGGACTTTTCTCTCAAATCTTTCAACACCTTTTTTCTAGGGTGCTGGTTAGTGTCCACGTCTCACAGCCATATATTAGAACTAGCTTTATCATAGCATTGTACACCCTTAATTTGAAATTTTTCTGGATTTATATATATCTCTTATATATCTCTTTCTATATTTGTTATTTTTAATTATTTTATATGTTTGTTATTTTTTAAAGGGTGTTCCTAAAGGATGCTTTGAAAACCTTGCTGCTGACTGATCTGAGGTTCTGTGAAGTTGAAAATGTTGAACAACACTTATGGAAAATATTGTATTATAATGTTATTGAATTATTGAGAAAGCTTATGGTCGATCATCCCGAATCCAAGGAATCTTATAGACAAGCATTATTAAATATTATCGATGAGGTATTTATTTTATTTATTTAAATTATCAATTTTTTTAAAAACTAACATATAGTCCGTGGTACAGACCCCTTTTTTATCAAATTATTAACATCCGCCTGAAAGTTCGTAAATAGTTTCATCTCATCGTAACCTACAAATATTTTATTTACGAAAACTCTTGTGATTGGGGCGTTTTCAATCTGGAGGGAGGCAAATATTGTATATTTAATTAGGTACTAAGAACTCATAAATACTCATTTGCTTGGATCGAAAGATAATTTTATTAAAAAATCGATAAAAAAGGTGGCCTACAAACATATTGTGCCGTTTGTCCTATATAACCTCGTTATTTTGAAAATTTGGGCCTGTAGGTCACGCCAAACGGCTCAGTATTTTTGAAGGCCATCTTTTCGATTTTCTGATTAAATTATCTTACATTTCTCGTAGAAAGCAAATGTGTATTTACGAGTGTTTAATAACTAATTAAATAAGACAAAGTTTGCCTACCTCTTGATTGAAAATTGAGAATTTTCGTAAATAAAATATTTGTTATGATGAGGTGAAGCTAATTACGAAGTTTCAGCCGTATGTTAATAATTTGATAACAAGAGTTCTATATCACGGATTAATCGAGCATGATAGGATTGGAAATAAATAAACAATTCAGATAATTGAATCATTTTTATAGAACAATTTAATTATGTAAAAAAAGTCTGTCATTAGCGTAGTGCTGTTTTTTAATTATTCATTTTATTGTCGTTATATATATGTTTTTTTTTACTTTTTTATAGGGTTCTGAATATTATGAGCAACTTTTAAATGACCTGGAAGCTTCAAATAATAATATTAAGATTGAAATATTTCTGAACACACCAATCTGTATGCGAGAAAATTTGAAGTACAACGTGCTTCCGTTGATCGCTGCCCAGAAGATTTTCCTCAGTCTTGGGGACCTAACACGTTACAAAGAACAAGCTAACGAAACTTGCAATTATGGTTTAGCTCGTCAGTAAGTTATTTTATAGTTTACTTATTATTTGAAATATTAAGTTAAATTTAATTACAATGAAATCATGAATCAGATTGCCTAACTATTTATTTATAGTAGCACCTCAGTTATGGAAGTAATAATTTTACTACTGACTGAAGTAAATTTTGAAATGAAATTATTTGGATTACAAATAAAAACAAAATTGTTCCTAAAAAATGTGAAATGTTATTGTTTTCAGGTGGTACATGAAAGCTCACCAGATCAACCCTAAGAACGGTAGACCTTATAATCAACTTGCCATACTTGCCTTATATACGGTAATTACAATTTAATTTTCCTTATGAATATTCTTTATTTATTTTCTGTTTGTGGGAAAGTTACGCTCTTCAATCACCATTTGCTAGACCAAGAGTGGCCGATTTCTGTTAATGATATTTTATTATCAATATTTACTGATTGACGAGTGTCAATAAAAGAAATAAAGATTAAATTTCATATAATTATCTTATAATTAATATGGTCTACCATAATGTTTGCAACTAAGAAATTGAAGTATTTCCGACACATGTATTATGATAATAAAACTTTTTTTTGCAAACTAAGGGGATATCCCTGTTTCTGGGCAACCTCCAGTTTACTAATTATACAATTGTTCATTTAATTTCACTGCTTGTTACTTAAATTGTTTAACTGTAATTTACATGTATTCTGTAGTTTAGATTGTAAATTTTATTGTTTAAATATTTTATTTCAGAAACGTAAACTGGATGCAGTTTATTACTACATGAGATGTCTTATGTCATCGAATCCCATAACTGCCGCCAGGGAGAGTCTTATTTCATTATTTGACGAAAGTAGGAAGAAAGTAAGTAATAAATATAATAAATAATTTTATTAGTGTGATTAAACGTGTATTTATGTGTGTATTGTCATTAATTTATGTTTTAGCATATTGTATTTATTTATGCGATTAATAAACCGTGTATTGCTATTTTTTCTTGTTTTCTTTTATTGATGTATTCATTATGTGTTGTTTGATAAAAAAACTGACATTTCTTTGAGTACAATTAGATTGCATCATATAGCTGATCAGAAGAGAAAATGGTAAACAATTAGATATATAAATAAAATGGATTTTGAGTAAGCAGTTATACAAATGGTGAATTTTCTTTATTTTATTTTTTTTTATTTATAACTTATCCTCAAAGCAGAATAACAGGCAAAATTGTCACAGAATGAGAATAAGAAGGGTTTTTATAAAGTCAAATTTTCCCTCAGAACTCCATAAATGAAAATTACGACTGCAGAAAGATTGTCTAGTGTTTACTGTGTGATGATCTGATCTTTTTCACATCATTTTGACATCTTTTTCAACATCTTTTTCAAAAACGACTTTCTCGTTCTTCTACTTTAGAATATGTGGCAGATCTCGCCTTAAGCAATCATAAGAATGATTCAATGGGTTTTAAGTGAATTGTAAGAATCCTGAACATAAGTAGAGGAATAAATAATCATTCAAAAGATCCATTACATTTAGCGATATACTGTAAGCGGTTCAGTAATAAGAGAAGGAAATATTTCGAGGGGTCAGATCTCAATATTAATACCAGTGTTGGGCAAAAATTATCTATAGCTAACAGATAATAGATAACAGCTAAATTAGCTATTAGCGGACAGATAATTCTACAACTAAATTAGCTATTAGCGGGACCAAGCCGCTAACTTTTAGCGCAAGTTAACTTTTAGCTGTTCTTACCGCTAACCGCTAATTATCTTTATCTGTATCTTCAGCTAAAAGCTAATAGCTAATTCTTCGGATTTCATTGGTCTTAGAGTCGACTAGTAGGTTTTGGGAGGCGCTTTTTATGAAAATAATGTCGGATTTTAGGTGTGACCCCCTCCTCCCCCCCCGTCACCGACTTATCATAACTTCTCTGATTTTATCGATATATGGGTCGACTATTAGGTTTTGGGGGGCGCTTTTTATGAAAATAATGTCGGATTTTAGGTGTGACCCCCTCCTCCCCCCCCGTCACCGACTTATCATAACTTCTCTGATTTTATCGATATATGGGTCGACTATTAGGTTTTGGGGGCGCTTTTTATGAAAATAATGTCGGATTTTAGGTGTGACCCCCTCCTCCCCCCCCGTCACCGACTTATCATAACTTCTCTGATTTTATCGATATATGGGTCGACTATTAGGTTTTGGGGGCGCTTTTTATGAAAATAATGTCGGATTTTAGGTGTGACCCCCTCCTCCCCCCCGTCACCGACTTATCATAACTTCTCTGATTTTATCGATATATCCGCCGTCTATTAGGTTTTGGGGGGCGCTTTTTATGAAAATAATGTCGGATTTTAGGTGTGACCCCCTCCTCCCCCCCCGTCACCGACTTATCATAACTTCTCTGATTTTATCGATATATGGGTCGACTATTAGGTTTTGGGGGGCGCTTTTTATGAAAATAATGTCGGATTTTAGGTGTGACCCCCTCCTCCCCCCCCGTCACCGACTTATCATAACTTCTCTGATTTTATCGATATATGGGTCGACTATTAGGTTTTGGGGGGCGCTTTTTATGAAAATAATGTCGGATTTTAGGTGTGACCCCCTCCTCCCCCCCCGTCACCGACTTATCATAACTTCTCTGATTTTATCGATATATGGGTCGACTATTAGGTTTTGGGGGGCGCTTTTTATGAAAATAATGTCGGATTTTAGGTGTGACCCCCTCCTCCCCCCCCGTCACCGACTTATCATAACTTCTCTGATTTTATCGATATATGGGTCGACTATTAGGTTTTGGGGGGCGCTTTTTATGAAAATAATGTCGGATTTTAGGTGTGACCCCCTCCTCCCCCCCCGTCACCGACTTATCATAACTTCTCTGATTTTATCGATATATGGGTCGACTATTAGGTTTTGGGGGGCGCTTTTTATGAAAATAATGTCGGATTTTAGGTGTGACCCCCTCCTCCCCCCCCGTCACCGACTTATCATAACTTCTCTGATTTTATCGATATATGGGTCGACTATTAGGTTTTGGGGGCGCTTTTTATGAAAATAATGTCGGATTTTAGGTGTGACCCCCTCCTCCCCCCCCGTCACCGACTTATCATAACTTCTCTGATTTTATCGATATATGGGTCGACTATTAGGTTTTGGGGGCGCTTTTTATGAAAATAATGTCGGATTTTAGGTGTGACCCCCTCCTCCCCCCCCGTCACCGACTTATCATAACTTCTCTGATTTTATCGATATATGGGTCGACTATTAGGTTTTGGGGGGCGCTTTTTATGAAAATAATGTCGGATTTTAGGTGTGACCCCCTCCTCCCCCCCCGTCACCGACTTATCATAACTTCTCTGATTTTATCGATATATGGGTCGACTATTAGGTTTTGGGGGGCGCTTTTTATGAAAATAATGTCGGATTTTAGGTGTGACCCCCTCCTCCCCCCCCGTCACCGACTTATCATAACTTCTCTGATTTTATCGATATATGGGTCGACTATTAGGTTTTGGGGGGCGCTTTTTATGAAAATAATGTCGGATTTTAGGTGTGACCCCCTCCTTCCCCCCTCCCGTCACCGACTTATCATAACTTTTCTGATTTTATCGATATATGGGTCGACTATTAGGTTTTGGGGAGCGCTTTTTATGAAAATAATGTCGGATTTTAGGTGTGACCCCCTCCTCCCCCCCCGTCACCGACTTATCATAACTTTTCTGATTTTATCGATATATGGGTCGACTATTAGGTTTTGGGGGGCGCTTTTTATGAAAATAATGTCGGATTTTAGGTGTGACCCTCTCCTCCCCCCCGTCACCGACTTATCATAACTTTTCTGATTTTATCGATATATGGGTCGACTATTAGGTTTTGCGGGGCGCTTTTTATGAAAATAATGTCGGATTTTAGGTGTGACCTCTCCTCCCCCCCGGGCACCGACTTTTTGTAACTGTTCTTATTTAATCGATATCAGGACCGACTATTAGGTTTTGGGGGGCGTTTTTTATGAAAATAATGTCGGATTTTAGGTGTGACCTCTTCCCCCCCCCCCGGGCACCGACTTTTTGTAACTGTTCTTATTTAATCGATATCAGGGCCGACTATTAGGTTTTGGGGAGAGCTTTTTATGAAAATAAGGTCGGATTTGAGATAGTGCCCGGGGCCCGACTTTTTGTAACATTTCGGATTATATCGAACCCATATATCAAATCAATCAGAAAAGATACCAAAAGTCGTGCTCGGGGGCACTACTCTAAAATCCGACATTATTTTCATAAAAAGCGCCCCCCAAAACCTAATAGTCGACCCATATATCGATAAAATCAGAAAAGTTACAAAAAGTCAGTGCTCGGAGGGGGGAGGAGGGGGTCACACCTAAAATCCGACATTATTTTCATAAAAAGCGCCCCCCAAAACCTAATAGTCGACCCATATATCGATAAAATCAGAAAAGTTACAAAAAGTCAGTGCTCGGAGGGGGGGAGGGGTCACACCTAAAATCCGACATTATTTTCATAAAAAGCGCCCCCCAAAACCTAATAGTCGACCCATGTATCGATAAAATCAGAAAAGTTACAAAAAGTCAGTGCCCGGGGGGGGGGAGGGGTCACACCTAAAATCCGACATTATTTTCATAAAAAGCGCCCCCCAAAACCTAATAGTCGACCCATGATATCGATAAATCAGAAAAGTTACAAAAAGTCAGTGCCCGGGGGGGGAGGAGGGGTCACACCTAAAATCCGACATTATTTTCATAAAAAGCGCCCCCCAAAACCTAATAGTCGACCCATGATATCGATAAAATCAGAAAAGTTACAAAAAGTCAGTGCCCGGGGGGGGAGGAGGGGTCACACCTAAAATCCGACATTATTTTCATAAAAAGCGCCCCCCAAAACCTAATAGTCGACCCATATATCGATTAAATCAGAAAAGTTACAAAAAGTCAGTGCCCGGGGGGGGAGGAGGGGTCACACCTAAAATCCGACATTATTTTCATAAAAAGCGCCCCCCAAAACCTAATAGTCGACCCATGATATCGATAAAATCAGAAAAGTTACAAAAAGTCAGTGCCCGGAGGGGGGAGGAGGGGGTCACACCTAAAATCCGACATTATTTTCATAAAAAGCGCCCCCCAAAACCTAATAGTCGACCCATATATCGATAAAATCAGAAAAGTTACAAAAAGTCGTGCCCGGGGGGGGGGAGGGGTCACACCTAAAATCCGACATTATTTTCATAAAAAGCGCCCCCCAAAACCTAATAGTCGACCCATGATATCGATAAAATCAGAAAAGTTACAAAAAGTCAGTGCCCGGGGAGGAGGAGGGGGTCACACCTAAAATCCGACATTATTTTCATAAAAAGCGCCCCCCAAAACCTAATAGTCGACCCATATATCGATAAAATCAGAAAAGTTACAAAAAGTCAGTGCCCGGGGGGGGAGGAGGGGTCACACCTAAAATCCGACATTATTTTCATAAAAAGCGCCCCCCAAAACCTAATAGTCGACCCATGATATCGATTAAATCAGAAAAGTTACAAAAAGTCAGTGCCCGGGGGGGGAGGAGGGGTCACACCTAAAATCCGACATTATTTTCATAAAAAGCGCCCCCCAAAACCTAATAGTCGACCCATATATCGATTAAATCAGAAAAGTTACAAAAAGTCAGTGCCCGGGGGGGGGGAGGGGTCACACCTAAAATCCGACATTATTTTCATAAAAAGCGCCCCCCAAAACCTAATAGTCGACCCATGATATCGATTAAATCAGAAAAGTTACAAAAAGTCAGTGCCCGGGGGGGGGAGGGGTCACACCTAAAATCCGACATTATTTTCATAAAAAGCGCCCC